GGGGCGAGATGCAGGGACTGCGGGATGGAGTTCCAGAGGGTGGGTGTATAGTTTCGGAAGGCCCACCCACCGATAGTGGGGTGAGCAAGGAGGGGACGTGAAGCAGGTTGGAGCCAGCTGAGCAGAGGGAGCGAACAGGGTGGTAGGTGGTTAGGAGGTTGGAGAGGTAGGGGGGAAGCAAGACCGTGGAGAGCTTTGTAGGTGAGGACCAGGATCTTGAACTGGATCCTCTGTGTGATGGGAAGCCAGTGGAGTTGGGCAAGGATGGGGGTGATAGGGTCGCAGAGCGGGAGAGGACGCCGGCTGCAGAGTTCTGGATGATCTGCAGCATGTGGGGGGAGGAGTTGAGGAGGCCAACAAGCAGTGAGTTTGCATAGTCGAACCTCGATGTAATGAAGGCGCGTATGAGGGTTTCGACGGCCTGCAGTGTGAGACAATGTTGGAGCCGGGGCGACGTTGCAGAGGTGGAGGAAGGCAGAGCGAGTCATGGCGCATGTGGGGTAGAAAGGACAGTTGAGGGTCAAACAAGTCCCCCCAAGTTTCCGGACTGGCTTAGCAAAGTGGAGTGTACAACCATGGATGTTGATGCTGTCAGCGCCTGAGGTGAGGAAGCGCTGACGGGAGCCAATCAGGAGAGCCTCGGTCTTGTTGACATTCAACTAAAAAAAGTTAGCTCTCATCCAAGACTTGATGTCTGACAGACATTCTATCAGCACAACAGTGGTCCTGGAGGCAAGAGTGGAGGCAGAGAGATAGAGTTGGGTATCATTTGCATACATGTGGAAGTTGACGCCATGTCTGCAGATGATGTCACCAAGAGGGAGCATATAGATGTTGAAGAGGAGGGGACCAAGGACAGAGCCCTGAGGAATGCCGCACGAGATGGTCCGAGGGCTAGAGTTGAAGCCGTTTGAGGAGATGAAGTGCAGGCGGTGTGAGAGGTACAATCTGAACCAATCAAGGATAGCACCGTTGAGGTGAGAGGAGAGGCAGTGGATGAGGATAGAGTGGTCGACGGTGTCGAAAGCAGCAGATAGGTCAAGGAGGATGAGGGGGTAGAGGAAGCCCTGGTCGCAGATGGACAGAATGTCATTTGTCACTTTGACCAGATGCTTAATGGGATTCTATGTTATTCTAACTTGGTTTTTTTAACCAGATTGTGCTTCATAAATTAAATGCGTCCTAAACAAAAATACAACCTTGCATTTTTATGACATCTACAGAACTTCTTAAAGTGCTTCACCATAATTACTGAAGTGACCGTTTTTTGTAGGCAAATGCAGCATCCATTTTGTGCATAGTAAAATCCCACAAATAGCCATGAAATGAGTGAACATTAATGTTAATGTTGAAAATTGTTTATCAAGACATCAGGAAAAACTCTTCATATCCAACAATGTCATAGAATCTTTAACGTCCACCTGAATGGGACCTCAGTGTAACATCTCATTCAAGGATGAACAATACAGCACTCCCTTACTAGACTGGAATATCAGGCGTAGACTCTGAAGTATAATAAATTGAAGTACAGTATTTTGCAAAATAATAACCACTGACTGTCTTTCATAGTTACCTGTTGATTTTAATAATAATCCTTGCAATTGATATAGTGCCATCACATCATTGAGATATCTCAAAGCACTTCACAGAATATACTGCAAAGTGAATTGACTATTTTGTGGTGCAACGTGGCAGCCAAGTACACAGCTAATTAATTTATTTAAAAAATATCTTCTGGACTTTATATACAGACATTTGCTGTGTGGAGGGGAGAGGGTGGCAGATTTTAAGCAGGGGGTTATCTATACCTGCTTTTCCTTGTTCACTGATCTTATTATGGATTAATCAAACATTTTCTAAAAGATCCATCTCTAAATTTATACCTAAACAGAACCGTTACTCCAAAAGATGGAAGCAAATTTGACGTACTGTGAATTATTTTAGGTCTGAAAGGATTAAACTACAAGAGGATGTGAACTGCACACATTAATCCCCACTTTCTGATCCCTGTTCTGCAGCAGCAGGCTCTATACAGGTACTGGATTGCAAGTTACCTCTCCCCAAGCAGAACCTCAAACTTCAGGAAGTGAATTGAGAACCAATCCAAGTATGCTTGTGCTGCATCCAATCATCTGCTTTGGTCTGCTTCAAAGCCCGTGCTGTAGTCTTGGAGACCATTTGGATTTACACATATATAGCCTTTTATAGTCAGTCATTTCTCCCGTTGGGTATTGGTTGGGTTAATTGGAATGCAGGCTGGATTAATACAGCCAGTCTCTGCAGTGCAGAGCAGCGCTCTGCTGTGAGTGCCTGCAAAAGTTCTCAATGATTGGAGGAAAGTTTTGAATAAAAGTTTTGTAACAGTTACTGGTGAGGATCCATAAAACACAACTCTTGTGTCAGAGCAGACAAAATGGATCACTTTAGCGGAGACGTAGCATTCCAAGGAGACTCTGACCTGAGGAAGTTACAAATGAAGTTACAGGCCTGCATCTGCAGCCATTGCTGTATTAATGTAAGTAACTGTTATGGCTGAATACACATTGCCAGGCAGAATGAATTCTTCACTACCTGGTGCTTTACCACAAGAACACAAACTCAGGTAAAGGTTTTGTGCATATTAAAAGAAAGCTTAAAAAATACAAAACATCTTGCATTTAAGGTAGGCGTGATCAAGCCACAACGGAGTTTAAGGCACATGTTGTTTGTTTTGGCGAGCTGGGAGTGGGTTGTATTGAACCTCCTGCTGTGCTTAAACTCCAGTGCCAGCTGCTGAGAATTTACAGACTCGGAGCTTCTGATTTTCAGTATTCTCTCCCCAGAGCCACACTCTGCATCACGCCTGGTTGTAGGTGGGGGTTGGTATTGAGGGGGGCACGCACACTGCACTTGTGAAGAGAGATGCACATTATGCGGTGGGGAGGAGACAAATGAATGCTTTGCACTGGGGTTGGGGGCGGGAGACGTAAACTCTGCACTGACTGAAGAGAGGCACTGTGTATTGGGGGGGCATTGTGTATTGGGAGGAGAGGACGCTGCGCGGTGGGAGTTTAGGGAGAACGCTGCGCAGTGGGAGGGTGAGGGGGACGCTGCGCAGTGGGAGGGTGGGGGGGACGCTTCGCAGTGGGAGGGTTGGGGGGATGCTGCGCAGTGGGCGGGGTGGGGCGCTGGGCGGGGTGGGGCGCTGGGGGCAGTGGGGCGCTGGGGGGGAGTTGTATGCTCTGCACAATGGAACAATTTAAAAATTGACTTAGGATAAAGCAAGATTTGATAAGTTTGACTATCTTAAGGTCCAGCGGAATTCTTAAGTTCTCTTTACATATTAAAGTTAATAAAAGTTTATATCTACAAACCACTGACTGGTTTGCAGCACTGTCTGAAGAAATAATTTTCCAATCCATCAAACCCTGGTCACTGACTGTTCATGAGAATGATGGTGTCACAAAGTGTCCACAAAGTTCTGTTACCAAGATATTTTTTTCCTACCACGCACTAACTTACAACTGAAACGTGGAAGTATGATGATAATTGTATTTAGAAGCATTTAATTGTATTCAGTACAAGTGTTTAACTGTTTTTAGTCATTCAGAGGATCAGTGTGAGTGAGCAGCAACATTTTCATGTTGCCATGTTTGGTTTCACATCTTCCAAATATGGATGGCGTGACGAGGTGAAATGCATCTCTTGGTAGCATGTTTCAGCTCCTCCGTAGTCTTGTATCGTTGTTTTGTAAGAGAAAGCACCCTATCGTTTGTGTTTATGGTGTTCACTTTCTCCTGATAGTAGTTTTCCAAGTTAATTTCTCAGCTCACTGACTCCACTGCGGAAGTTTCCTCAATAGCTATCTGGAACCCTAGCAGATTTTCTCTTACTTAACCTGAGTGCTGAGGGTAACTCAGCCCAGGCTGAGATGCAGTAATGCCCAGACAAGGGAACAGACCTAGGACCTAGTTTGTGTGGCTGAGCTATTGATGCTTCTCTTTACTTAAATTTTATTGGCAAGATTAAAACCAGGAAATGAGCAATACTGATTGACAGAGAATTATATGAAAGCCAGGCAGGGAATGAGCAGTGAGTGAGCAGTGTAGTCCTGTTTCTCTAATGGGCATAATAGCTGCAGTAGATATTAAAGGCCTTTGCTTTGCCATCGGTATTGGATGTTGAAACTATGTAGTGTTTTAATTCTTATATTATTGGTGAATTTTCAGTTGTCAAGGTGAGCACTGTGTTGAGAATATCCCATCTTGAATATCTTGTGCCCCAAAAGAGTATGTGGAAGGGGCAGGTAAATGGGAATGAAAGGATGGCCTTAAAAGAGACACGATGGATTGAATGGCCTTCTTCGATGCTGTAAATTTCTATGGTTTTATCTAGCCACTCCCAGATCAGGCAGAGTATGAATTTAGTAGATGTATGGTAAAGCTACCTTTATACTGTAATACAGTGACTGTATACCTCAACCACATCAAGTCTCTCCCGGCTATCTGTGTATGCTCAGGCCAAATGTCCTCCTTCTGTGCTGTAATATTCATTGATTTTTCTATTTTGCTCAGCCAGGTGTCTGACAAATGCGGAAATCCATCACCATGCTTCCAAACCAAGCTGAGATTTCCATGCATCCCATCTACACATGGGAATTCCAGAGATAGATTGTTGGAATGGAATGCTCACTCTCTCCCTGGAGGACACATCTTGCTTACCTAAGTCTAGAAAGTATTGAATTCCAGAAAGTATTGGTTGGCAAGAGTCAAGTCTTGGGTCCCAAGTCTTGGAGACTTGGGGACCCAAGAGTGTACATTGGGATCAGCTAAAACCGCATGAGTTGGTTATAAGCTGAGTGGGATGACTCCCTTCCCCCAGTGATATCAGCAGTGTCCTGGAATACTCAGACATGAATATGCTAATTGGCAAAAGGCACCAGAAACTTGCCTCCCAATTAGAGAGAGTGAGAAAAGGCGAAATGTATATTTCTGTGTCTGAACTTAATATTTTGTTTTCAGATATACTTTGGAGACCTCTTTTCTGAGTGAGCAGTGATATCAGGATGGCAGAGAATGCAGTCTCACGTTCTTCAAAGTCACACGATCAACATAGCAAAATGGATAAGACAAAAAATGTGTTTCCAAAAAAAGAGCTGACCTTGCCAAAGGCTTCCAGTGAACCAGAGACAAACATGTACTCTGAACTTTCCAAGAAGTACCCTGGGATATTTCAGCAACCATCAAGTACAGCCACCTTCCAGGATACACTACAGTCCCTGAAAGACAGCAGGACGGGGTCCAAGATTTCTCGGGCACAGAGCAAAGCTAGGACTAAAAGCATTTCAGGAAATGTCTGGACGGATGACCAGCTTGAGAAAGAGATGAGTTCTGATTTACAGATACACACCTACTTAACTGACAGGATCCTGAAGCCAAGGGAGAGCTCGATCAATGGTGACATTGATATACTAGGTAAAAGTTGCCAAAGTAAGGAAGACTGCCATCCCAAGGTTCGGGAAGTGATCTCCAGAAGCCCTGGTTTGTATAATGGAGACATTTCTAATAAAAAGAACAGAGCTAAGCGCTGGAGTCCCCCAAAGGGCTTTTGGAAGGTTCTTAAGAGTGAGAAATTAGATTTGGAGGAGGGAACAAATGCTTTTGATGATGTTTCAGAAGAGGTTGCTCAGATGGATGCCTGGAGGATGAATTGTGCTGAGAGTCCCAGGGGAGGCAATAGCAGAGCTCCAGGCGAGAAGTGTGCAGGAAACCATCATAACCCATCAAAGGAATTACTGAGAACAAAGAGTTTGGATAGTTCTATCCTGAGTTGTGGAGAAGTGACTTCAGAGAAATGCAATCTAAACAAGGGCATCCATCTTGGGGGTCTATGGAGGACTGATAGTTGGGAGAGTGTCAGTAGTAACACCAGCTTGATATCTCTGACAGACAGAGTAGAACTGAACCGTGCCCGTCTCCAGCGAGCACTGACAACTTGTGTACCGTCCAGCTGCAGTGATCATCCTCCTGATGAAAGCGAAGCACAGGAGAATATGAGTGACTTCAACCAGGAACCTGTTATGGATCAAAACTTCCTGCAACCTAAGTGTATCTCACAAGGTAATTTTTTTCAAACATTGTACATTTTCTTTGTCTTCAATTTTCTTATCATTTTTATACGACTTTATAACCAACCGGCACTCCCAGGCTAGCGACAACATGGGTTAGAGACAGAGTAAAGCTCCCTCCACACTCCCAGGTTAGAGACAGAATAAAGCTCCCTCTACACTGTCCATCCACACTCGCAGATCAGCGGCAAAACTCATTAGAGACCTAATAAAGCTCCCACTGCACTGTCCCAGGTCAGCAACAGCACAGATTACAGACATAGTAAAGTTCCCCCTACACTATCCGTTCACACTCCCAGGTCAGTAACAGAACTGGTTGGAGACAGAATAAAGCTCCCTCTAAGTACACTGTCCAACCACACTCGCAGATCAGCGACAGCAAGGGTTAGAGACAAAGTAATGCTCACTCTACATTGTCTGTCAACACTCTAAGGTTGGTGAAAGTACAGCTTAAGTACAGAGTAAAGCTTCCTGTATATTGTCCATCCAGCATTCACAGATCAAATAAAATTTCCTTGAGTATACATAATTCCTGTTCAGCACAGGAGGAGGATGCAGCTTATTAGCCATGCATAGCAGTCACTTTCTTTGTTCTGCAGAGAAATGCTAGTCCAGGCTTAGAGAAATCCAACAAACAGCTCTGCACTGCAATTAATTAGCTTGTAGGTCAATCGGGTAAGCAACTAACAAGTACTTTGTAGTACCTGGGAGCATTTTTGAAGGAGGAATCCCAAGCACAACAACAACAAATTACATTTTTATAGCACCTTTCACCTGGGAGGACGCCACCAGGTGCTGGACAGTTGAGGATTTGGACCCGAGCTGGTTGGGATCAAGAAGGGTGGAGGACAGGGAGGTGACCGAATGGAGTGGTTGAAAAGGAAAGTTTTTGTTGTTGTCTTGAGACTAGCCTCAAAGGAGGCCAGGAAAGGGGTGAGGCGAAGGAACCTTGGGATGGAGTTCCGGAGGTTAGGGGCAGAAAGGCTGAAGGTCCGACTGACGATGTTGGGGCGGACAAGGCAGCAGACTTGGAGCAGGCTAGAGCCTATTGAGCAGAAGGAGTGGACGGGTCTGCATAGAGTTAGAAGATCACAGAGGTAGGAGGAGCAAGGCCGAGGACGGCTTTGAAAGCAAGACAAGGATTTTGAACTCTATCCTCTAGGGGATGTGGAGTCGGGTGAGGATGGGGGTGATCAGCTCATGGAGCTTGGTGCGGGAGAGGACACAGCTGCAGAGTTCTGAATAATCTGCACCTTGTAGAGGGAAAAGCATAGACAGTTGGGGCCAATTGTTTTGAGGGAGCTGATTATGATAACGATATTTTTTTCTTTTAATCCAGGCTGCGGAGTGACACAAAGTGACAGTGATTGGGATTCTGGGATTTCGCTGCAGGAATCTGATCGTGGAATGAGGTAAAATTCAGACTCCTGACCTATTATTGGGCTCTACAGGATGGTTCAGGATGTGAGCCCAACTCCAGTTTGGGTTTAAGGCTGTTAAATTAAGCTCCGAATGGGTTGAATTCACAAATGGTATAACACATAAATTGAGAGGATGAGTTGATCATAACTGTGAAAAATTGAACTACGTGGAACTCGACCTTAAACAGCAGGTAGCTGCTCTTCGTTGGAACTCAACTGTGTTGTTAAACTCTCTAGCATTATTTAAAGGGATCACTGATCTGGACAGAGTAAAAGAATCCCATTAAATTATTTTTTTGGCAGAGAAAAGGGAGAGAGGCTCACAGCGAAGGCTCGGGGATTAATCAATGTGATTTTAACAATGTTAATGTTCTCCTTGATGGCTCAGCCAGTTTATTCACTGGACAACTGAGCCATATAGACCAGAAACAGTCCCAAGTCCGCCCCTGCTCTGTTCTAGCCAATCTTAAATTATTAATAAATTGTCAATCAACTGTGTGCAATTGGCTGCCAGGTTTTGCCCACAAAATACACAGTAAATCCACTTTACAATTAGAACTGCAATTGGCTTCACTGGCCCCGGATTACTGAGGGGAAAATGGGACAGTGTTTCCATTCCAGAGGCCTGAAATTCTGACTATTCTTTGCCTGTAAGACCATTTTATCTTAGATTTTGAGAATGTATTGAATTGTGGACAATTCTTAAATTCAGAAAAGTAGCTTTGAAATTTATACTACATTTAAGAATTTTCACAATTCTACACAGTCTTACTTTCTAAAATAAAATGGTCTTAGAGGCTAAATCCTGAGTGAGATTTTGGAGTTCATCTGATCACAATCCAGAGACATTTCCCCCCACCCCACACACGCGGGCACACTCACAGTCACACACGCCCTTTGTTGGAAAGCATTGGATGAGGATGAAATCCATTCCCTCCCTGGCACCTCCCTACCTCTCCGCCTTCCTCACTCCCCAATCCACCACCCGCTCGACTGGCACTGGCCTCCTGCTCGTTCCTCGCACCCTCTGCCCCACCATCGGAGGTCACGCTTTCGGCCACTACACCCCGAAACTCTGGAACACTCTCCCTCAATCCCTCCGCCTTGCCCCCCCTCTCCCCCCTTTCAAGTCCCATCTGAAAAATTTCCTCTTCCACCGTGCTTATGGCCTCCTCCCCCCAGCTCAGAGTCAGGCTCCGCCTAAGTGCTCAGAGATGCTACCCTGCGTGGATGGCACTATATAAGTGCAAGTTGTTGATGAAAACAGGTTTGGCTGTGATGCTGTCGGTTAAATAGTTGGCAACATTCACTGTTAAGATTTGCAAACAAAAAAACAGGCTGAGCCATTAGGAAGCATACTAACATTTTATGTTCACCCATAAAATAGATTGTCACTCCACTTTAAAGTATACCCTATGAAGTGCTTTGAGACGTCTTCCCAATGTGAAAAATGCTATACTAAATGTAAGGATTATTATTTTAGTTAAAGTGGCCGCTTGGATGATGTATCGAAGTAGGTCTTTGGTCCTGTATCCAAGTAGAGTGAGGGAAGCATCAAAGCTGAGAGGGTAGAAAGAAAAGGGCAGAAAATTGTCAAGAACAGAATAGGTTAAAGAAAATTGTACATTCATAAAAAAATAAGAGGCCTATCCTGGAGAGAATATCTGCTGAGTGTCAGTGAGCCAGGTTTACTATTGTACTTAAAAAGGGAATCTTCACACACTAAGGCTTTGTTTTGCTAATTAATCTAAGCAATCAGTCGTACGGAGGTAGAACTGACTGAATTAGTGAGTGGCGGGGGGTGGGGGTTTAAAGGTTAGCCAATGGAAATCTGGCTGTGTGACGAATATCTGCTGCAGCCTGTGCCTCAGATTAGTGAAGTCGTCCACTGGTTGCTGTGAAAATGGCATCTTTTGTTTATTTGCTGTTTTCTCAGAGTAAATAATCGTTCTTGCCACCAAATTGCTTAAGGTTAACAAAAAACAGGCCTAATGAATCTTTTGTTCATTGGTGTCACAGTGCTGGTTTGTAGAAGCAGCAGTACTGTATAGTTTGTAGTGTGTATGTGTATGCCAGCTTATGACTTCATTAATTCTCTAATTGCTGTCTGTTCCTAATCTACCTACAGAGCAGACGACCAGTCATTGAGTCCTAGGCATGAACAAGCCAAGCGATTGCTGGAGAGAGCTCGAATGAAGGCCCGAGCCAGCCCACTCAAAGCCGACCACAGCATTCTGCCCTTAGTGAGAGGCTCTCTGTAAGTGCTATTCTCTCCTCACTTTAGTTAAGCGAAAAACACAATTGAAAATTGCTGTGAGATTCATGTGATCTGTTACTATACCTGCATGCAAACTTCAATCTAAATGATTTCTGCTGTAGTTATTTAGTATCTCATAGTTTATTCACAGTGTGCACCTGGTAAAAGCCAGCGTTAGCTTGTGTTCAGTGATGTAAGGTGGCCTGGGTATACTCACCCACTAGGTAGGAGAAGTGCTCCATTTGACCAAGCCAAAAGTTACTGTCAGAGTTACAGCAGGTATTGCAGCTCTTGTCAGATGGAATTTGCCTCCTGGTCAAGCATGCAGCTCTATTGTGATTATTGAGTTCTATCCACAAATAGATATTTTTGTTGTGACTTGTTTCTAATGGGATTTTCCTTTATAACCAAGTAATGAAAAGATGTCTGTTTCTAGTGAATAGCCTGTTACAAGTGTCTGCTTCCCTACATGTTGCTGTTGCCATAGTTCAAGTTGGCGGAGAGATGGGTAAATGCTAGAAATCAAGACTAAAATAAGAAGTCTGGCACTGAAAGGTAGTGATCTCCTTCACAGCTCAGTCTCAGATTGAATAGGGAGGAGGTAGTTTGCTACGTATTGTAGTGATGGTTGAATGGGAGCCGCTTTGAAGTACACCATGGCTACCATAGCAACAAGATAATACAATGTCATAAGCTCTTCAAAATTCTGATATAAGATTTTTAAAATGCAACAAAGAAAAGCAGACAAGGTAAAATGATGAGTGCCCAGTTGGCCAAGCTGAACCAAGCTGATCGCTGAGTTACAATATCTCATGGTTGCAGCTAATATTTGTATCTACTGTCGTGGTTCCCCACAAAAAAAGATCTTAGGACAGAGGGAGATGCAAACTCAGATTTATTTAGTTTGGCCTCTATCGGTATTGAAAATGCTACATTATCAGTTTGAGGGTGTGGCATTGTCTACTTGCTCAGTTAGATCCAGGCATAGACTTTCAAGGGCCTGAGTTGCAGTTATCGGGCAACAACAACCACAACAACTTGCATACATATATCACCCCTCATGCAGGTTAGCATCCTAGAGCAGGAATCAGGCAAGCACATATTCTGGAACAACCTACTGCCACAGCCCTACACCCATCTCCACGGCCCCAAATCATGAGCTCATTGACATGTAAAATGTTGTACAAATATGAGCTCTTTTTAATGTTCTGGCTCTCTCTCCTCCCTCCCCAGAGATGCTGGTGGAACTCACATTTATTTACCAAAGAAGACTGCATTTTCCAGAGATGGACTTGTCTTGAACCTCCACAACAGTGGCAATCTGAGTGACTCCTCCAGCTGTGAATCCAATTATGGGCAACGCAAGAAGAGAGGTCCTTCTCCAACCCGGGTCAGGTTTGAAGACGAGTCTGTCCAAGATGCCGAGGTACGGTACCAGTTGCGTAAGAGGTGCAGCTTTGAGTCCTCCATCCGGCAAAACTCAAGAATGTGGAAAGTGGATGCTCCAGGCCTTGGGCCGGATTGGCTTCCCAGAATGGAATACATCTTGAAAAGTGACTCGGGAGAAATGGGAAAACTCTGCTGTAAAAATACACAAGTATGGGGGAATGAGAGATGCAAGGATGGAGAGAATCCTGTTAGAAATGAGAAACGGACCGGTGACCGGCCTCAAGGTCCCATATCAGATAATCCTTCCTTCAACACAGCAGTCTGTATCAATGGGAAATGCAGCACTTGTGGCTCTTACATCATTCCCAATGCCAATCAAACAGAAACGTGCTATGTTGCCCCTCCTTCCTATGAATTTCCCAATGTTACTGTTGTCAGCCAAGGTGGCAAGCCTTGTACGCCAAACCAGCACAAAATCCCAGTAGAAACCGTAAAAGGAATAAGGACCAATTTGGTTGTGGACGCTCCCATGACCAGGCCCCTGGCATCCCGAATCATCCCGCGCTGGGTTCTTCCCTCACAGCACAGGATCAGAACTGAATTCATCAAAGAAACCTATATTGGTGAAGTGACTTCCATTGATGACATTGTATCTCAAGTAGACCTTGGAGATACTGACAACTCCACAAACAATAAGCCTAAGTGGGAAGGTACTAGAGGCAGTGAAACATCAGCGTACTGCTATGCAGTAGTGTCTGGGAGCAATGAGGAGCCTACAAACAATGTTAATCTGACTACCAAGTGCATAGAACAGTCAGGAAAATTTTGTGAGAGCTATAGTGACAGCATAGCGACAGACCCAGTGAGTGCTACAGCCATCTGCAAATCCAAGTCAAGAAAGAAAGACTGTGCCAAAACTACACAGGGTAATGGATGGAAGATAGAGAGTCGGAGGCATAATGAGTCAAGGAATTCAGCTGATTCCAAACTGGTGACCAGTCCATTAGACTCAACGTATAGGTCTTGTGTGAGCAACACAAGTACAGATTGGATCACAGAAGTTTCCCCTGAGCACCAACCTTCTTCATTGCGTTCAACCTCTACTGTTACATCAAATCAATGCTCTGAACTGAATAGGGAGCACCCCACAGCGCCTCGTGGTTCTCTTCCAGACCAAAGTACAAGCCCTCTTGCAAACAGTCACATCAAAGAGATGTCCCGTGACATGAAGCCTGTATCACATCCAACAGAAACAGCTTCTACAAAATCCACGCAAAATCATCGTCCTTTTACCAGTGTTCTACAACAAGCAACAAACAGCAACAACACCCACAACTTGACCGTCTCATGCACTTCTCAGCAAGGTCCACCATTGTCGCTGCAACACAACCTCAGTACCAGTCAGGTTAAAAAGATCTCTTCTCCTCATTACAGGGTGATTCATTTGGATCCACAAGAGAATGAGGAAACTCAACCTGCTTCCAATGAGGTCCTGGAAGGTTCCTCTCCTGTACCTCCTCTGCAAGGCATAACTAGTTGCCCTGACCAACAGCTGTCAAATGGCCAAGCTCACATCCTACTCACCTCAACAACATCTCCTCACCATCAACTGCAAATGAATACCTTACACAAGAATGCCAATCAAGGAGCAGAGAGTTACAATGCACCATCTGTAAATAAGACAGAAGGTCTAAATGGCCTTCTATTGGCCATCAATCACCAGAGATCCATTGATCAAACTGTGGATCAAAACAGTTGCAAAAGTTGCCCCACAATTAAGAGTCCTAAAACAGCCTTCCCATCTCAACAGCGAGCCATTTTGCTAGGGTCAAAATTAGATGCTTCAAACCAGAATAATAAACCAGGTAAATTGGCATTAACATTTCATATCTTGATTCTGCTGATCAAAGGCAAATGCCCCCATTGGCACTTGCATTTATCATGTCCAGGCTTGACTATCCTCTGCTTTCCAGACTATCCAACTACTCATAACATAAGTTACAGACTATCCAGAACTCTGTAGCCTGTGTCCTTTCCCACACGAGTCTCCACGAGCATAACACCCCCATGCTCGCCTAGTGGGACACTGCTGAACTTATATATACACAGTCACTGTACTTAACAATTCCTTGTGAAGCTGTTTCAACGTTAGAGCCTATATCAAATTAGATTATTTATTATAACTGGGGGATACAGAAAAGCAGCATCCCAAATATGAGAATGAATTCAAATCGGGCAGTTGGGAGAAGTGGTCTTCAGGAAATCAATGTGATTTGCAAAATGCAAACGTATTACTTGATAATAGAACAGGGATAGTGAGTGACATGGACTTAAGTTGTAGCTGAGACAGTTTTATATGGATGGGTGTAATCTTCAGCAGCAGCTCATCGATGCTGCTATATTTAGTGTCCCTCCAATTTACTGGTAATAAGTTCTAATGACAACCAAAGTAGTCATATCACAAATGTCTGTCAAGAGCCGGAATCCTGATGAGTGAGGCATGTTGTAAGGTGCAGAGGGAATGCTGGCCTCCCTGATCCTCAAGCACCACAGCTGCTATATGAATGGATACATCTTTCTTAATTTTCCCCTCTGTAAGCAACATTGAAGTGGAATTCAGTAAAAATAAAGGATCATTAAATGTATACAATTTAATCAAAGTGTGGGAGGAGAACCAGCTGGTACCAGAGCATCCCACCTCTGGGATCTGAATCCAGTTCACATTGATGGGATTATAATCTCTTCTATTTGTTAATTCAAATGGTTCTTGATGCTTAAAAATTATTTGTCTTGTCATCCTGGAGAGCAGGAGATAAGATAAGAAGTGACAATGAATTGCTGAGCCTCTGTTTGGGACAAACAGTGATACTCATTTGTGGGACAATAAATAGTAATTTTTATATTTGATAAATCACCTTATCACATTGAAATGTGTCAAAACATTGCTTTGAGGCATAGTGACTGTTATCAACAATAACGAACAACAAATTGCATTTATATACTGCCTTTTACTTAGGGAGGACATCCCAAGGTGCTGGGCAGTCAAGGAGTTCCTGGGGATTGGAATCAAGATGGGTGATGGGCAAGATAAATGGGGATGGGAGGATGACCGAAGGTCTTGAGACAGGCCTTGAAGGAGGCAAGGGAAGGGTAAGGGACTCTGGGATGAAGTTCCAGAAGGTGGGGGCAGAAAGACTAAAGGCCCAATTTATGATAGTAGGGTGGGCATGGCAGGGGACATGGAGTTTGCCAGTGCCCGCTGAGCGGAGGAAGCGGGCAGGTTGATAAAGCTTTAGTAGGTTGCAGAGGTAGGGAGGTGCAAGATTGCTGATAATCTGTATCAGCAATGTGCCACAATCAGGAAAGGGATATATGTCCCAATTTTGGGGGTTAATTTAATAGGGGAGCAATATTAGCCAGGGCACTAGGAGTGCACCCCACTCTTCCTCAAAATAATGCTGTGGGATCTCCTACATTACCTGAAGCAGGAGATGGGAAAGTGGAGTCTTGTTTCCAATGCCTTGTATTAATGTTGAGTCGACTAACATCCATGTTTCTGCTGATGCATATATTGAAGTTAAGACTTATCCCAGTTTTATTCTTGCATTGTGTATTTTTAGATGTACATCATTTGGTCAGAGTTGTGTCCCACTGCAGAAGATTGTGCAGAGATGTGATTGGGAGTGGGTTATTGTTGCTTGTTTACTACAGTACTTGTTGCATTTTTTTTAACAGCTCTGCCTGTGATAAACAGGGCAATTCTCCAAGGCTTCACTGCAAGTCCCATAGAACCAGCCACGCACACAATATCTGCACTCACAGAACAGCCGGCAGCTGGAGGAAACGGGCAATTGATGTTGGAGAGGGACAAAGCACCCGTTCTAGCCACCCTCACAACCGGTCAGCATCTCAAGGATGATTCCATGTCAGCGTAAGTCACAGCCACATGGTTCCTAGCCCCATTTAAACAGGTCTGAGTCAGAAGATTCAAGCCCCATGCCAGACTTTGAACTGCAAAGCACACTTACAAATCCAGCTTCAAGAGTTTCCCATCTTCCTTCTCCCTTACTCAGCGTCCAAACCCACCACTGTGAAGTGCTCTGAGATGTTTTCCTATACAAGCACTGTATACAGCAAGTTATTGTTGAGAGGAGGGTAATGGGATAATACCTAATGTGATGGCCAACACATCAACAGTAGATTTACTGGAGAGAAATGGTGTGTTATTAGAGGCCTAACCTACATATTAATTTGATTAAACTAAATGATCAGATCCAGGCTTTCTTATTTTGCAGCCATGGCTTATTGACTGTGAGACAGAGCTTTGTGCTGATATAATGGGCTGTAAAACTACCACTGATATACAGTAATGGATTGAGCGGTCTCTCGTGTTTCTGTGGGATCATATGAAGCATGGGAAATCATCCATTTCCCAGGATTGACATCCCTCATTGAGAGAAGCAAGAATAATTCCATAATAATAATAATCCATGCCTTTTATGTCAGGAGGATATCTAAAAGTGCTAAACAGGATTTACTGTAAAAGTGTAGTGTACTTTGTAAGTGAATGCGGAAGCCAATCCCACAAACAGGAATGAAAAGACCATTTTTAATGGAGAAACTCCTCCACGCACACGCACAGACACAAATTCCCTTTTCCCCACCCAAAAAAACTCTCTGACCTAAAATAATTCCCTTGCGGTTAGGTTTGAATTCTCTTGTTGGGGCGAATGACCCTTTCTGGATGGAAAATTTCTGTTTCTATGTACAGTACAGTATCTCTCGTCCAGAAATCCTTTTAGCATACAATATTGCCACCCAGTGTTCAGACACTGAAACTGGCTTCCTCTAATATGTGCAAGAATTCTCCCAACTCAATGTGTTTTAAATACTACATGGTATTACCTCACTATTAAATTGTTCAGATCATCACTCTTAGCTAATTGTATGCATCAGAATATGTTTCCCCACATGTTCCTTCCTGATGTAGCGCTCTGAGACGCCGTCCGGCGTGGAGGGCGCTATATAAATCCAAGTTGTTGTTGATGTAGGGTGAAACTTTAAGGAAGTTTCTTTACTCCACATGCCTGTTTATCGAGCAGTAAGTAGAAACCCGGTTGTTAGTCGATTAGTGGATCGATTTGTGGGGGTAATAATCCCTTCAAAAAATAAATTAATTAATAATAATTTGAGAAACTACTTTGTGCAATTGGCTGTTGTGTTTTGCCCAAAAATACAGTCAATTCACTTTGCAGTATATCTTTTGAAGCACTTTGAGATATCTCAATGACATGATAAGGCAACAACAACAAGATTACATTTGTATAGCGCCTTTCACGTCGGGAGGACGTCCGAAGGCGCTGGACAGAGTACGCATTTCAGACCCGGGGTGGGGAAGGGAGGGGAAGGGGTATGGCCAATGGCTTGGTCGAACAGGAGGGTCTTGAGGCGGGACTTGAAGGAGGCTAAGGAGGGGGCGAGGCGGAGTGACTGGGGGATGGAATTCCAGAGGTTGGGGGCAGAGTGGCTGAAGGCTCTCCCGCCAATGGTGGGGCGGGTGGATCAGGGGACGTGGAGCAGCCAGAGCCGGCTGAGCGGAGGGAACGGGCAGGTTGATAGGGGGTTAGGAGGTCGCAAAGGTAGGGTGGGGCGAGGCCATGGCGGGCTTTGTATGTGAGGACCAGGATCTTGAACTGGATCCTCTGAAGGATAGGGAGCCAGTGGAGTCAGGTAAGAGTGGGGGAGATGGGGTCATGGAGTTTAGTGCGGGAGAGGACACTGGCTGCAGAGTTCTGGATTATATATATATATATATATCAAATGCAAATATTATTATTACCATTATACTTGCTCCGTGTGACTATAGTTTAAGTTATGTCCTGTTCTGTTTCAGGACATCTGATGGCAGCTTGGACAATCTGCATTTCAAAGAAAACCCCCACAAATCAAGACCTTTGCTGAGAAAGTTCTTCTCTGGAATTGGCCTCAAGACTGTCTATAAACTGAACAAACTGCGCTCAGCAAGCTTGGAGCAAATAACTACACGGCCATGCTCGGGGACAGAGCCGGTGTGCGAAGGGAGCAGTGCAGCAATGAGGATGGCTCCCTTCTTACAGTCACCCCGGAAGGTTATGATCAAAGCAGAATTGGCTGTGTCAGAATTTTTAATAATTTTTTTGGTCAGCCGGATATCTGATACATGAGGAAACCCACCATCATGCTTAAGAGTACCCATACTGAGAATTCAATGCATCCCGACTACACATGGAAATTCCCGGGAGGGAAGCATCCTGCTTAGCTAATTCCAGAAAGTAATAGACTCAGGTTGGCAAGATTCAAGGCTTGGGGACCCCAGAGTTTGCATTGGGGTAACTGCTGGAATCTAACCGCAATTGCTATCGCAAGTGATGCTATTGATATCACTGGCGAGCTTTCCCGCTGCTTGTCCATCTACAACCACCCTACCCATGAGATCTTTGGCTTGCAGGGTTAACAGGAGCTGTTAACCTTCCTACCTCTATGACCTGCTAACCCCATATCAACCTGTCCACTCAGTAGGCTCTAGCCTGCTCCACGTCCCTGCCCAGCCCACCATCGGCAGTTGGGCCTTCAGCCTCTCTGCCCTCACCCTTTGGAATTCCCACATTCCCTTTGTTTCACCCTTCCCTTGCCTCCTTCAAGTCATGTCTCAAGACCCTCCTCTTTGACCGTGCATTTGGCCACCCTCTTACCCCTATCCTCCCTGCCCTCAACCCCTCCTGATCACCACGACCTGCTGGGATCCAAATCCCTGACTGTCCAGCACCTCAGAACTTCTTCCTGACATGAAAGGCACTATACAGATGTAATTTGTTGTTGTTGAGTGGGATGACTCCCTGCCCCCCACTGGTTGTGTCAGAATTCTGGTGAAGATGAGCAATGGTCCATTGCTTCTCATAATGTGCAGTATATAGAGGTGGCTTGTTATTAATGCCAACTTTGAGGAGTAGCCAGCTGCCAGGAGTAAAGCAGGTCATTTCCAATCTGATTTATGACTTTCTCAACACGGATGTTACCCGACCTACCCGACCCGACTAGAAGGAAGTGCCAACACAGAGGACGACATTAAAAAAATGCAGCGAGACATAGATAGGTTAGGTGATTGGGCAGGTAGGTGGTAGATGAAGTATAATGTAGGGAAGTGCGAAGTCATCCACCTAGGTAGCAAAACAGTAGAGCGGGTTATTTTTTAGAAGGGGAGAGATTGGAATGTGTTAGCGTCCAGAGGGACTTGTGTCCTTGTACACCAATCACAGAAAGTTAGTCTGCAGGTGCAGCAGCAATTAGGAAGGCGAACAGTATGTTAGCGTTCATTATGAAAGGATTAGAGTATAAGAGTAGGGAAGTCTTCCTGGAACTGTATAGCGCCCTGGTGAGACCACACCTGGAATACTGTGTTCAGTTTTGGTCTCATTTAAGGAAGGATGTACTTGCCTTGGAGGGGGTGCAGCGTAGATTTAATAGGTTAGTACCAGGGATGAAGGGGATGAGTTACGAGGCTAGGCTGACCAATTTGGGCCTATATTCTCTAGAATATAGGAGAATTAGAGGGGATCTTATAGAAACCTATAAGATAATCAAAGGGTATGATAGAGTAGATAGTGGGAGATTGTTTCCCCTGGTTGGAAAAACTAAAACCAGGGGTCACAACCTTAAAATCAGAGGCCAGCCCTTTCGCACTGAGTTGAGGAAGAACTTCTTCACTCAAAGGGTGGTGAATGTATGGAACTCACTACCCCAAAGGGCTATTGAAGCTCAGTCCTTGAACATATTCAAGACTGAGATAGATCAATTTCTTATTTGAAAAGGGATTAAAGGATATGGGGATAAGGCAGGGTCAGGTTATTAGCTGGAGTTAGATTAGAAGATCAGCCATGATTGAATGGCAGGGCAGGCTCGAAGGGCCGAATGGCCTACTCCTGCTCCTACATGTTATGTTATGACCTCACCGCTCAGCAGCTCCTCAAAGCAAGGAGCTCAGAATTTGATCTGTGTTATTTTTGTGGGGAGGGAGGAGAGCGATTCCATGTCAGGATCTTCTATTTCCATGTCCATCTTAAGACCTTCCTCTTTAACCATCCATTTGGTCATCTTTCCCCACACCCTCTAGCCCCCACCCACCCCCTAGCTCGATTACAAAGCCTCGACTGTCCAGTACCTTGGGTCGTCCTTCCAATGGGAAAGCTGTATATAAATACAATTGGTTGTTGTTGCCCCTACAATCTATTTGTGTGTTAATAGTGTGAAAATTGCAAACACCCTACATGGTTAGGTTTGGTTGCCATCAGTTTAAAGTGCAGTTGCTCCTTTTTGTTGCTAGGTGTCCCCACTGTTCCAGCTGAGGAAAGCCTCGTCCATCCAATCCCTTAACTCCCAGAAGAAAAAGAAGGATCGCTCTGGCTCATACTTGGTAGGAGAGACAGGAGACACTGGCTCAGGTGACAGGTACGTACATGGTAACAGTCATGTGATGAGTTGGGTAAAGGGGCCAATGAACTGGGGTACAGTTTCAGTTTTTTTTCTCATACCTCTCCTAAAGATTCTACCTTATTGTGGGATATAGATCAGGCACCTCTGTACTTCACCCAAATGGTCATCTTTATACATTGTCTCAATCAAGGATTCCTCTTATTTGACCAAATGGGGAGGGGGGTTACCACTGGATAGTGATCAGCAATGCCAACACTGGCTTTTTTTTGCTCAGGGCATCAGTCTAACTGTTGCTCTAATTGTTGCCCCAGCAGAGATCAACTAACTCTAAATTATCTGAACTTATTTTAAAAGTTATGTTGAAGAGTCTTGATCATTGCTGTAGGTTCTGACCAACCTTTCTCCATCCAGGCGGTTTGCCTCCAGGCCAGTGAGATCCCTCAGTGTAGAAGACATTGGATCTCCTAATCACCCGAGGGCTATTGGTCATGTGGTGAGGACCTTTCCTGACACCAGCTTCCTGCTTGAGATGTCACGGCCTGTCAATGGACCTCTTGGTTTCTTCATCTGCAGGGGGAGTGGCAAATCTCGAGGAGGTGAGTATTTGAATAATTATGGGGGGGAATAACAAAAGTTTTCACACCTGAATTATACAATAAGTTACAATTCATTGTTCTTTTCACTTCCTCCGCTGATTTTTAGTCCGTTTTTATTTCCTTTCCATCTTCCCCCAAGCTCACATGCAGGATGTCCCATTCCTCAGCCCTGAGCGGCGACAGGAAGCTCCTCCCAGCGCCAGTGCTGCTTTCACTGGTGAAAAATGACTAATTTTCCTCCTTTTTGGTGGGGAAGTCTCCAGCATTCACTCAGCTCTTCCTCCCTGTTAGGATCAGAAGCGACCGTGACAGAAATCAAAACATCAAACCCACATCCTGTACTTCATAGTGCAGCAGGTTGTAACACATTCACAGCCAGAACACTGGTTCAGTGTAAAGAACAGTGTTAGTTGCCATCTCTACATCAGAAACAGCACAGGAATTGTACTAATCACTGTTAACTTACGAAAGAATTTATGACATGCAACACCTCATGAAAACCGCATAGCTTGCCATTGAGAGCACTCTCTGGCAAGCTTACACGCTGCTGTCCAGCTAGGACCACCCTACCCATTAGAGCTTTAGTTTGCAGAGTTTACAGTAGCTGAGTGGGAAGAATTCCTGCTCCTAGAAATTGGTGGGCTGGTCTGTCATCACACCTGGAGTATTGCAGACCCATTTGAATCAGATACTAGACAACAGATCCACTACTTGGACTAGTCCACTGCAGAGGGTTGACTCAATACTGACATTCCATTGGCAAGCAAATCACCTTCAAGACAGCTCAGTTCCAAGGAGACCTTCCCCCACTAAGGAGCGTAGTTACTAGTTGGTTAGCTATACATGTGAGAGAAAAGGGAATAAGGAGTGGGTGGAGACTCGTGTAGAGTAAAATAACAACAATAAAAATCCTTGCATTTAATATTACCTTATTCGCAAGTTAAGTTTTTACTCAATATTAAATGGGCCATAAATAAAATGTTACCTTCACTATAATTGAACAGACAAGTGCTCTAACCACTGATCTACAGGATTCACAATACTTAAGATAGAGGCAGTGCAGGTAGATTGTGTCAATGAATTCAAGAGGGAATTAGAAAGCTATTTAGCAAAGAAATAATCGATTTGAAGGATATGAGACAGAAAGTCGTGTGTTTTTATATTCTAGAATTGGCCAGATGGTCTTTTCTGGTCAGGTGTCTTCCTAACGGATCAAGGGCCGACCTGTTTTCCAATGATGGGATTATGGATAATCAAACTAATCAAAACCTTGCTCAAGCTGCTTTACTGAGTCAAATGGCACGCTTTTCCTTACTCCTTAAAAGTGAATGATACTAGGTTTCTTCTCCCATTCACAATTTATACTCTAATGGACGTCTGTTTTCATCAGCTGCAAGAATTTTTTGCTGACGTTCTGATGATTCTATAAAGGTGCAATCTGGGTTGCTTAGCTGTTTCAATTCTGCTAACTGGAAAGGACAGCAATAACTGATGCACACTTAAACTTCATGCTGCTTATTCATGAAATAAGAACTCAAGTTGTTCCTCATTAATCTCTATACCCTCAATAGATTCAGAGGAGTGAGGAAAAGCCATTTAGCCCATCCTTTCCATAGATCCTTGTAACAAACTGTTCTATCATGGACTCTGCCCAATTTGATAAATCATCCATTGAACATTCTAAAGTTTCTATCCACATGTCTCCTGAAGTAACTCAAGTAAAGCTAAGGTTTGAATAAATTTAGCAATTTAATATTTAACAACGAATTGACACAGATGTGTTGCACTTTTTCTCCTGCCTGCCCCCCAATTCTGCTCTAAGTTGCAACATCTGCGAAGCCAGACTTTGTAACTTCTATATCATGGACTTTTACTGACAGTTAGTAACAACAAATTCAAAAACTGGTAACCTGTTAACTGGCTGCGGAAGGAAGGAAGTGATCCACAAACTGGAGCGCTGCTGGCCCAGCTTCATGGGCTTTACCACTGAAAACAGTATTGGGGAAATCGCCATCTAGGTCCATTTGATGTTCCAAAGATCACTGAAACACCAACTTGCATTTATATAGCACCCCTCACGCAGGGTAGCATCCCAGAGCGCTTGACAGTGACGGAGCATGACTCCGAGCTGGGGGGAGGGGGAGAGGACCGTAGGCAATATCTGTCTTGCCTAGCATTCTGTATTGCACGTCTCTGACCAGTTTTCTTCTTTGGCAAGACACCTTAGGCAAGTTGCCTTACTCCACTCACACGCCTCTGTTTACCCAGCAGTAAGTAGGAACCCGGTTGTTAGTTGATTGGCGGATTGCTTTCCAGGAATAATAATCCCCTCAAAAATAAATAAATAAATATTGGTCACTCAGTCCACTATTGTTTGTGGGACTCTGCTGTGTGTAATTGGTCACCGTGTTTCACCCACAAAATACAGTTAGTCCACTTTACAGTATATTCTGTGCACTTTGAGATGTTTTGATGATGTGGTAAGGCGCTATATCAAATGCAAGGATTATTATATGGTATAGCAACAGAGATCCATTCTATTCCCCACAAGTGTTCCAGCATCTGTACATGTGTGTATCATTAACTGTCAATCCTATTCCTGATCAGATATCAGTCCAGCTAATGGGTAGGGATATGTGTCCAAACTGTGGCAGGAGGATGGTGGCAATGCTCTCACACATTTCTTACTGCTCAACAAGAGACTCACAAGGAGTTCCTGGTCACCATCTAGTGTGGGCTCAAATCTACACTTGACAGATGTCTAACTGGAGACTATTCTTGTGGATGGGGTAGGTAAGCGGGGTCTCCTTGGGTATGAGCTGGCTCCAAGATCACATGCTTGGCAACATATGATGTCAAAATGCAGTCAATCCTCAGCGGTGGTCTCAGCATTCCATTTCCTGAGCCAAGGAGTCCATAGCCAAGGACTCCAAGACACTGTTACCGACAATACAATTTTAGCTAATGAAACTCCTGCACCAGGCACACTCTTGTTGTCTCTTGTACTTAATATTTTCCAGAATTACATAAGCAGGATGCAATCTTCCGAGATTGTGCACTCCATTCTAGATAGGGAAAATTTCATGCACGCATGGAACTTTCAGTATTGTCTAGATACTCTTAAAAGCATGGTGATGGGTTTCCATGTGTATTTAAAAACCTGGCTGACCAAAAACAATTTAAAAAAAAAAAATTCTCATTCACTCACTCTCCATTGCATGCATACACACACACAAGGCATTGCAAAACCTAGTTGCTGCTGGCTTCGTGGTTGGATGCATGAATCTGGATCGCAGCATCTCTGTAAAGCTAACATCAGTTTTCTCCTCCCCCTAGGGATCTTCGTCCATCACATGGCTGACCAAAACACAGAGAAGTTGTATGCAGGATTGCTGGAACTTGGGGATGAGATTCTGGAGGTCAATGGGAAAAGTGTGGAAGGCTTGACTTTCAACGAGGTCTATAGTCTGATATCAGAAGGCAGGACAGTATCCATTAGAGTGCGGAGAAATAATAGCACCAAACGGTGACAGGACATTACTATTCTGGGCCATAAAGTATTACAGTGTTATAACACACATGGAGGAAGCTACATCTCGTACCTGAGTGGTCACTTTGGTGATTCTACATCTGATATCAGCCTATTTTATATTCTCAAGACTTCAGCCAGATGTCCAGTGATCAGTCTCAGGACGGTAATGGGAATCTGCATTTTGAGTTAAAGTACTAAACAGTATCTGTGTTGAATTGCCCACTCTTCTCACGTTTGATGAACCAAACTCCAACCGCGATTGATTTAATTCACACCATAACATAAAGCACTCTACATCTAAACCTAACCACCCAGCTCCTTCCTCAATGTCAAAGCAGCCAGAAATAGCTCAGCCATTCAGTGATGGTACCCCCTAAGTTTGGAGATCTGCTTGCTGTATTCTGGGGCTAGCCTCAGACTGTTGTAGCTCCCAGGCAGACTGACTGAACTATCTAAAGAAAGTACATCGGACTGAAATGTGAGGAGTGTACATGATTGTGGTCAGAGTTTAGCTGAGTCTGTGATATCTGTGATCCGTGACCTAGCTAAATGCAATTTGTCCTTCATTTACTACTAAGATCCAAGACATGCAATACAAACTACCAACGGAATTGGAAGTTTACGTTAAGGTTGGAGTGAGTCCATCTGGTGCATTGTCTGGCACTGGTCACTGAGAGGCCACACTACGGCCACTTTTCCACCACACAAAGCAAGAGAAAAGTCGGTGGATTTCCCAGAAACACTAAAGTGGTTCAAGAGACATTTCTGGAGTGATCAGGAATTGGGGGCTATTGTGAGGAAGCCACATGACTGCTTCTGTTCATGAAGCAACAGATGTGTCAGGTAGGATTTAGTTGAAATGAATGTAATGTTGATGGGAAGTTCAGTAATGTTCTCAGTTAAACTGGACAGGAAGCATCTGGGTGCATGTTAATTCCTATAGGTAACTCCTCGCACTGTGAGATCCCAATTGTAGCCATGCAGTCAGGAAAAGGTCCCTGAGTAAGTAGGACAAGTGGTGAGATGCTCCACAGTTCTGCTTACAGAGCAGCATAACCTGGTGCCAGGAACCAGATTTCTTGGTATGCTTTTCAAGCGAGGAATAGTTCATGAATCCAATATACACAACAGCAATAACAAATGACATTTGTATAGAGCCTTTCACGTTGGGACGAATTTTGAACTCTATCCTCTGGGGAATGGGGAGCCAGTGGAGCTAGGCGAGGGTGGGGGTGATAGGGTCACAGAGCCTGGAGAGGACATGAGCTGCAGAGTTCTGAATGATCTGCAACTTGTGGAGGGATTAGTGGGAAGGTGTCCTCACCTGACGTCCACACATACAGCCCTTCCAGCAGCTGTTGCTGAATACTGAGTAGGACTGAGAACTTTGGCTGACTTGCTTCTCCCTATCCTGGGAGTCTTGAGACTCCAACCAGATGAGATGTTCACACACTGGAATTCAAACATTGGACTTCCCTTGTCTGTATGGCTCAGCTTCCCATTGGATAGACTCACAGAGCCACTGGGTAGCAGTTTATTTTTGATCCTTTGTCTAAATTTATAACCAGTTTATCGGATCTATAAAATAACGACAGAAAGAAAACATTCTGACAAACATTTGTTTTGAGTGTTTAAAACAGAATTCTAATTTATGTATATGAATTGAGATAAACGTGTGAAGAGCGAAGGACTATAGTGCAGGACAGAAGTGGAAAGAATTAATCGTGATAAACGTTTTTCCCTGGTAGAGAATTCAAGGAAAAGAGGGTATGAATTGACGATTGTGACTAGGGGAGTGAAAGGAGAGATTTTCCCCATAGGCTTGTCAGAATTGCAATGATTTGCCAAGGGCGGCTGTTAGAACAGAGTCAATTAAGAGAATTTAAGAAAGCATTAGACTTAACACATGCTGAGGAAAGGACAGTGAACTGAGATCCAGGTGAAGGCTTCTTTGAGGGGCAAACACTAATATGAAAAATAGGCCAAATGGCCTCCTCCTGTAATTATACATTTCTACTGTTCTAGAGACAACACTAATATACAAGATGCATCAATCTAGATTTGTGTATGGTATTGTAAAATAGGAGAGAAGATGAGATCAGTCGGGCAGTTATGTCAAGTGAGGTTACATTCGGCATTTAAAATCCTGTAGATTTTTACAGCATGGAGGTACTCAGAAAGAATGATTTAGAGCAGGAGTTGTTGATGTTGAGCCAAGTCTTGACTTCAACACAATGTGCCACATTAATGGCTAGTTTCTGAGCTCAGACTTGCTGATATACAGCAAGAGAAGTCAACAGTGGAAATGCCTTCTCATCCTCTGCATGTAAATCTGGTCGCTCACTCATCATCTTTAGTTCTGAGGGCAATCGCAAGTTTAAAGGATCTTTCAGTCTATCAGGGGCACCAGTGTGTAGGAGGGTTTCCTGTTCCTGATCAGTATTCAGTAGCCGCTGCTGGAAAGTTTGTGTGGACGCCAGATTAACAGCACTTAAACAGTGATTGGATAAACTTGAGAAAACAATATTATAGGGCACGAGGAAAAAGCAACGGGATGGGTTCAGAGAACATAGATCCAGCAGGGGAGCTAGCACCAGCACAGACATGATTGTGAAAGAGCAGTGGAATTGGATTAGAGAGCTCCAGTGGAGTAGCTCGTACCAGCACATGCACAATAGGGAAAGGCAGGGGAATGGGATCAGAGTACATCCCTCCACTGAGGTGATTTGAGGCAAATGGTTTGTGCTGTAAACATTCCAGGTAAAGACAGGATTAGGCTCTATTGTAATATTCCCACCATCTGAATAGCCTGGTGATATCATTAATAATAATAATAATCCTTGCATTTGATATAGCGCTTTTCACGTTCGGAGGACGTCCCAAAGCGCTTAACAGAACACACTGCAAAGTGAATTGATTGCATCAATGTGGGCGAACGCGGCAGCCAATTGCGCACACCAATGTCCTACAAACAGTCGTAGATTGAAAATGACCAATTTATTATTGTTTTTGGTTTTGGAGGGATTATTATTAGGCTCTGTGTGGAGTAAGGAAACTTGCCCATGGTTTCGCCCTCTGCCGGGAATTGAACTCGGGTCTCTCGCTTGCAAAGCGAGTGCTCTAACCACTGAGCTACAGGACTCCACGAGAATGGACACTTGGATAAGATAATGGAGGGCACTCGGGACCTGTGGAACTGTCTGTCAGCACGACACTCCATTTCAGGACGAGATGGGGTAGGAAAGTTAAATGCTGTAGCCATTGTAACTTTCACATGTGATTGGGCACTTACCTGCCATTTGCAAACTTGCTCAAGCATTTCGAAGCAAAAATGTCCTGTTAGCAGAGCCTCATTGTCCCAAAACCTTTACAGACTTTTTTTGTTTGGTGACAAACAATGACAACTTGCATTTATATAGCATCTGGCTAGCATCTCAGAACACTTAAGAAGAGGTTTTAGTTAACATTATTCATGAATCAGATGTGTTTCTATAGAAGTCGCAGGGAAAGCTCAGCAGGTCAGGCAGCATCTATGGAAAAAGGAAAGTGAGTCAACGTTTCAGGTCCACGACCCTTCGTGAGAACTGGGGCATGTTGGGAGAGAGAGATTTTAGGTGCTATCAGAGAGGGGAGAGGCAGGGCAAGGAAGACAAAGGGGAAAATGGGGTGGAGGACAGAGGATGGTGGGTTAAAGAGGTGTTAATAATGCAAAACAAAGGGGGGGGGAATTGCAACAAAACAGGCAGACCAGAGAGGGAAAAGGTGTGCCTGGGACCCAGATGATGATGGTAATTGTCACAGAAGAGGGGGGTGGGGAAAGGTGAGCTTTTCTGGTCTGAAATTATTGAAATCAATATTGAGGTCAGAGAGCTGTAAGGTCCCATCATCACCGAGACGGTCAATGATCTCATCACCTCTGGGGAGCTTCCTCCCACAGCCTCCAACCTCAGAGGCCCCCCGGCCGCGCACAGCCTGCCTCTACCTCCTCCCCAAAATCCACAAACAGGACTGTCCCGGGAGACCTATTTTTCAGCTTGTTCCTGATCTCCTCATATCTGGACTCTCTTGTCCAGACCCTAAAACCTATATCTGTGACTCTTCTGATGCCCTCCTCTACTTCAACAATTTCCAGTTCCCTGGCCCAGACAGTCTCCTATTTACAATGGACGATCGGTCCCCCTACACCTCTATCGCCCACCAGGATGGTCTGCAGGCCCTCCACTTCCACCTCCAACAGCAGCCCAACCAGTCTCCATCTACCACCACCCTCCTCCACCTGGCTGAACTTGTTCTGACATTGAACAACTTCACCTTCAATTCCAACCACTTCCTCCAAGTAAAAGATGTCACTGTGCAAGTAAGAAACCTGGGTTAGATTCCCGGCAGGGTGAAACCTTGGGCAAGTTTCCTTACTCCACACGCCTGATAATAATCCCTCNAAAAAAAACAATAATAAATTGGTCATTTCAATCCATGACTGTCTGTGGGACACTGCTGTGCGCAATATTTGGCTGCCGCATTTCGCCCACAAATATACGGTCAGTTCACTTTACAGTCTATTCTGTGAAGCGCTTTAAGACGTCTAGAAGATGTGAAAAGTGCTATATCAAATGCAAGGATTATTATTATTACTATGGGAACCCACATGGGTCCCAGCTACCTGTTTGTTGGCAACCTGGAACATTCTTTGTTTCAGGCCTACTCAGGTCTGCTCCCTGACCTGTTCTTCAGATACATTGATGACTGTGTTGGGGCTGCTTCCTGCTCTCGTAGTGAGCTGGAAAAATTCACCAATTTTGCTTCCACCTTCCATCCCTCCATAAGATTCACATGGTCTATCTCCGACTCTTCCCTTCCTCAACTTTACCATTTCCATTTCGGTGCATAGATTATCAACAGATATCTTTTACAAGCCCACCAACTCCCAGTTGCCTGACTACACCTCCTCCCACCCCACTTCCTGTGCCTTTTCCCAGTTCCTCCATCTCCGCCACATCTGCTCTGACGATGCCACCTTTCACACCAGAGCAGCTGAAATGTCTTTTTTTTTACCTCGACTGAGGATTCCCATCCACTGTAGTAGGCAGGGCCTTTAACGTGTCCGCCCCATTTCCACACCTCTGCCCTCACCCCTTCCCCCACTTCCCAGAACCATGATAGGATCCCCCTAGTCCTCACCTTCCACCCCACCAGCCTCAACATCCAACAAATAATCTCTGCCATTCCCCGCACCTCCAGTGTCATCTAGTCACTAAACATATCTTTCCCTCTCCTCCCCTCTCAGCATTCTGAAGGGACTGTTCCCTCTGTGACTCCCTGGTTCTTTCTTCCATCAACATTTGCTCTCCTCCTCCCAGCACCATCCCATGCCAGCGCAAGAGATGCAATACCTGCCCTTTCACCTCCCTTCCTCAACTTTACCATTTCCATCTTGGGGCATAGATTATTAACATATCTTTTACAAGCCCACCAAGTTACTGTCCAGAGGCGCAAACACAGTTTTCGAGTGAGACAACGATTTACATGCACTACACCAATGTTGTTTACTGCATTTGCTGCTCACGATGTGTTCTCTACATTGGGGAGTCGAAATGCAGATTGGGCAACTGATTTGTCCATTCTGTCCACAAGCACAAGCCTGAGCTTACAGTTTCTTGCCACTTCAACTCTTCCTCCCACTCACTCTCTGTCCTCACCATCCATGGTCTCTCCTACGCTGTTCTAATGAACCACAGCACAAGCTCCGGGAACAGCACCTCATCTATCTGCAAGGGACCTTACAGCCCTCTGGCCACAATATTGATTTCAACAATTTCAGACCATAACAGCTCACCTCCCCCCTCCCCCTCTTCTGTGACCATTACCACATCATCCAGGTCCCAGACACACCTTTTGTTTCATTCTGATCTGCTTGTTTTGCAATTTTTCCCTGCCTTTTGCATTATTAACACCTCTTTAACCCATCATCCCCTGTCCTCTACCCC